ACCGGACTGAAATCTCAAGGTCCAAATCAGGAGCAGAAGGAGAGAGAGCACAAGCAAGGAACTCAGGACTGCGAGGGGTGCACCCACACACTGAGACAATGGGGATGTTCTGTCGGGAACTCACCAAGGCCAGCTGGCCTGGGTCTGAAAAAGCCTGGGTTAAAACAGGTCTCACTGAACATAGTGGACAATGAGGACTACTGAGACCTCAAGAACATGGGCAATGGGTTTTTGAGCCTACTGCACGTATTGGCTTTGTGGGAGCCTAGGCAGTCTGGATGCTCACCTTACGAGACCTGGATGGAGGAGGGTGGTCCTTGGACTTCCCACAGGGCAGAGAACCCTGATTGCTCTTTGGGCTGACGAGGGGGGGTGGACTTGATTGGGGGAGGGGGAGGGAAAGGGGAGGCGGAGGTGGGGAAGAGACAGAAATCTTTAATAAATTAAAAAAATAAATTAAAAAAAATAAAATAGAAAAGATATAACCTAATATGAAAAACTGACCTTGGCTGGATCCTGATTCCAATCAACCACAAAAGTAAAGGCATGTTTAGAAGCTGTGGAAATGGCTCAGTGAGAAACATACTTGCCTCACAAAACACCAGGACTTGAATCTAGATCCATCATTTGCATAAAAGGCAGGCACTGTGGCATTTATCTGTAACCCCAGCAGTGGGGGAGTAGATGAGCAGATGCTTGGGCTTCACTAGCCAGCTAGTCTAGAAGAAACAGAATGATCTAGGTTCAGGGAGACTGTCTCAAAAACAACAGGTAGAAACCCCATCTCTGCATGGACACATAGGAACACATACATACACTACATACAAAAAAATGTAACAGTATTGACTGAGTACTAGTGTAATAAAAGTGGAAAAGTGAAAAGGCAGTTGAATAAAAGTCCACATTAACTATTGTTTTTCAAAAGCCCCCAAAGAAGTAAAAATTAAAGTCTTTACTTGATAAAGGGTAACTCGCAGAAACCATATCAAACACAATACTTCATGATGAAGTGTTAGAAGCATTCTCAGTTAAGGAAGTAAATAAGGATTATGATCTTGCAATGGATATCCTGTTGAATGCATTAAGAAAAGTATTTTTTAAAAGAGGGTGATGAAATACTATACAACCTTTAACAAGTGATCAGTCAGTTGTTGTAAGGAGTTGCTTATTCACTCCAGCCTGCACAGACCCGAAATAACCACACAGAAACCGTATTAATTAAATCACTATTTGGCCTATTAGCTCTAGCTTCTTATTGGCTAGCTCTTACATCTCAATTTAACCCATTTCTAGTAATCTGTGTATAGCCACGTGGCTGTGGCTTACCAGCAAGGTTCTGTCAGAGTCTCTCTCTGGTGCAGCAACTTGGCTTCTCTGACTCCACCCTTCCCCTACCCCCCATTCAGTTTAGTTTTCCCCTGCCTAGCTCTGTTCTGCCCAGATATAGGCCCAAAGCAATTTCTTTATTCATTAACCAATAAAAGCAACACATATACAGGAACTTTCCACATCAAGTTGTAGTGGTGCATGCCTTTAATTCAAAGCTAACCTGCTCTAGGTGGTGGGTTCCAGCCAACCAGGGCTACATAGAAAGACCCTGTCTCAAAAAAAAAAAAAAAAAAAAAGACATGATCTCTACATTATATGAAATTCTCAAAGAACTAATAAATAAAAAGGTATTTTGAAAAATAACATGATCTCAGACTGGAGAGCACTGAATGTTCTTCCAGAGAACCTAGGTGTTGGGGGCTGCAGACCCCTGGCCCCTTGTTGAATGGAGTAAACAACTTGTTTTCCTGTGCCTGCAGCTGCTCGAAGCACCAGACCCTCATGAGTTCCTGATGGCAGGGGAGTAGGCTTCTGGAGGGTTTTATAACTGAAAATCCCAAGAGCAGGGCTGTGGCTATCCATTAAGGATCCCTATATAAGCTTCCCTGAAGCACAATAAAGTTGGCATTCTTGTTTCAAGGATGACCCGTTTCCCTCTGTGTGTAAGTGTTTAAATCTTCAGCCCGTTTCCTAGCTCATGAACCGTCCCATAGTGCCTATACCTGGGTTCAATTCCCAGCACCTACATGGCAGCTCACAACTGTCTGTAACGTCAAGATCTGACACCCTCACACATACCAGTAGGTAAAATACCAGTGCACATCAAATAAAATTTAAAATAACATCTATATATGGAAATGGAAATACAATGACTATTCAATTTCTAGTTATAAAGTGGTATCACTTTATATATTAGTTGTGCTTATATGTTTACATTTATTTTATATATGCATGTTGAGTGTGTACATATATTCATAAATAGAACACTAATGCACAAACTGGACATGATTTATTTCTGGGTTGTAATTATGACTAGATACTTTTACACACTTAAGAAACAGACAAAGCGGCCGGGCAGTGGTGGTGCATGCCTTTAATCCCAGCACTCGGGAGGCAGAGCCAGAGGCAAGCGGATCTCTGGGAGTTCGAGGCCAGCCTGGTCTACAAGAACTAGTTCTGGGATGGGCACCAAAGCTACAGAGAAACCCTGTCTTGAAAAAACAAAAAAAAAGAAAGAAAGAAAGAAAGAAAGAAAGAAAGAAAGAAAGAAAGAAAGAAAGAAAGAGAGAGACAAAGCAACGGCTGGTGAAATATGCCCACAATCCCAGTACTTGGGAGGCAGAGATAAAAGGATCAAGAAATCAAGACTAGCCTGGGGTAACAAGACCATGTCTCAAAAACACAGGGCCATTGAGATGGCTGCATGTTTTCTGTCGCATTTTCCCCTCTCCTCCCTTCAAGCCCTCGCATGTACTTGCCCTTGCTCTCCTTTAAATTCATGGCCTCTTTTTACATTAACTATTATGTGTGTGCAAGTACACACACGCATGTGGATGGACAGACATCCCTAAATATAACCTACTCCATCTGTATAATGAATAATTGCTGTGCAAGCCTGATGACTTGTGTTTAATCCTCAGTAACCAGGGTAGAAGGAGATGACTGACACTTAAAGAGTTGTCCTCTGACCTCTGCAGGCAAACTGTAGTGTGCACAGCACACACGCATTTCTTTTAAATTCACGTACAAAAGAAATATACATTTGCTGGAATTAAAAAAAAAACTCCTCCTCCTTCATTAGCCTTTGACACTGACTCCATTTTTCCTGCCATTCTAACCGCCATCACTGTCTGTGGACAACTGATCTAAGGTGCTAACCTTACTACCCTAACTTCAACCATCTCTAACCACAGGCCACTTCACCTGTCAATCCTTGAGGTTTGCCTTGGCAGCAACTAGGTATTGGGGTTGGTTTCAATGTCAACTTGTCACAAATTAGAATCACCTCCGCACGAAGTGTCACCTGAAGAAGTGTCCTGATGGCCTTAATTGACGTGGGAAGACCCATACTGACTGTGGGAGGCAATTCCTGGTAGCAGCCTAGATAAAAAGGGTATGGCAGGCAGAAGATGACCTGTCTTCCCCTCTCTAGCCAAGTTAATTTACACTATTGCTGCTGATTCCTTCCCCGATAAGAGATTCCGAATTTCCAGGTCTGCCAATTAGTTTTATATCAACTTGACAGAAGCTAGAGTCACCTGATAAAAAGGAAGCTTAACTGAAAAAAATGCCTCCATGAGATCAGGCTGTAGGCAGGTTTGTGGGAAATTTTTTTCTGATCAATGGTTGATGTGGGAGGGCTCAGCTCATGGCCCTGGTTACTATGGGAAAGCAAGCTAGTAAGCAGTACTCCTCAATGACCTTGGCATCAGCTCCTGTCTCAGGGATCCTGCTTTGTTTGAGCCCTTGCCCTGACTTCCTTCAGTGGTAAACTCTGATATGGAAGTTTAAGCAAAATAAACCCTTTCCTACCATGTTGCTTTTGGTCGTGGTATTCTATCACAGCGACTCCATGCTTCTGTCCTAGACGAAGGACCAGTGGATCACTAGGAACCTTCTAGGCTTTTTTGTGTGTGCCTGGTGGGCTGAGGACTACCAGGTTGTCAATACCCTCAATGAGAGAAAGCTACCGCAGGACCACTCCAACTTCTCAGACACACAGCCTCAAGGTCAGAGCAACTACCAGGTTCTCAGCCTCTTGAGTGATGCAGCCGTTGTTGCTATTTTAACATAAACTGACTTAAGAAATTCATATATGTATATATTCATATTCATCCCATTGGTTCTGTTCCTCTAAAAAAAAACCCTGACTAATAAGCACACTGTCCTAACCACCTTTAAGAAGGGGGAGGGGTTGGTTTGGGTTTTCTCGAGGCAAGCCTTGGCTGGTCAAGAACTCACTCTCCTGCCTCAGTCTCCTGAGCACCGGGATTATAGGCGCATGTCAGAGAATTGTTTTTTTTTTCTCCTTTTCTGTGAATGTTCAGTGCTGAGGCTGAACCTAGAGCACCACAAATGCTAAACATGGGCTCTATCACTGAGCCACATCCTCAGGCACATCCACCACTGCTTTCTGCTTTTCTCTTTTATGAAGCTCCAGCTGTCCTGGGACTTTCAATGTAGAACAGAACAGACTGACCTGGAACTTAGAGATCCTCCTGCCTCTGCCTCCTAAATCCTGGGATTAAAGGTGTGCTCCACCGCACCTGGCCTTCTATTTATCCTTTTCAGACTACCACTTATGGTCTAATTACTCTGGGGGACTCGACCTATATGTATCTCTGCTCCCCTCACAAAACCCATATGCAATGCATAGCACCCTTGCCCCCTTTATCAAATAAGGAATGGGATTGAGAGATTTCACTGTATAGTCATGACCCTCCTGCCTCAGCCTCCTTAGTGTTAGGAGTACTGGCAAGGGAAAGGATTGTGAAGTAACTGAAGTACAGAGCCCCACCAGGGAGAGAGTGGGGAACAGGGTGTGATGAGGGAGGGAAGGAAGGAAAGGAAAGAAGACAACTGCAAATGCAAAGCCTTGGAAGCCAATGGAGCAAGCCAGATGAGTTGATGGTGGACCTGAACACTGTAGATCAAAATGAAGTCCCACTTACTTCCAGCGTATGACTTCACATGATTGAGTCAGTGGGCGTTGGATGAGGGCAGCACGATATGATATGCCTAAAAGAAACCAAAAAGAAATCAGCTTACTCTATCATGTTTAATACCCTTGGATACACATAAGTATACATTTTATATTTCTGTATATTATACATACATACACATAGGTATATGTTCACACTCAGTTCGTGGGTCTCCTAACCACTTATCCAATAAAGTTTCAGCGTTGGCTTCACACTCCCCACACGACCTACACACTACTTCACCTTACTCGGCAAGCATCTGACAAATTAGGGGAAGGACGGTATCTGTTGAGATGGTGTACAGTGAAGTCCAGGGGTGGCTGTAATTTTAAACAGCGGTGCGTGAGAGAAAAAATGCCATGTGACATAACTCAGGAGGCGGGGTTTTCTTAATTAAGGGAAAGGGAACATAAAAAGGGGGAAGGGAAGGGGGGGAAGACCAGCCTCTGGGGACAGGTGCAGAGAGAAAGAGGGGGGATGGGAGGTGGGCAGGGCCCTTTTAAAGGTAATGTAGTGAACGTGCACAAGAGGTGCTCTTAGGAGCTGCAGCTGAGAACACAGCCTTTCAGAACCCCTAGGGCAGGCCAGTACAAGTGCCTGAATACTAACAGAGGCTTCCTCCGGTGAGATCACTCTGGGGTTGGGGGGCCTCATCCCTTTTTGGTCTTCTCATTTGGAGAGCATCCTGTCCTCACAGCATACCTGCCCTCAAAGCCTTATCCAGTGAAAAGACAGTCCCAAATAAAGACTGAATAGCAGGTGTGGGCCCCACACTTCCATTTCGTCTCTCACACAATCAAGAGAGACTACAACAGCAAATACAGTAACACATTTGGCTCTGTCCCTCGCTCTTCTCTCTAAAGTATAGCTAGGGAACTATGAATAGCCATTGCATGAACTCTAAGCTTATATGCAAACTGCAGGCATTTGGAGGGGAATAGGGAAGTTCCCCCAGATTTATTACAGGTCCGTCACGCTTCTGCCCAACTGAGGAAAGAAAGGAAGACAAACAAAAATGTGGGTAAGAACCATGCCTTCCAGCAGGTAGCAAAAAGCCGCACAGATGAGTTACACAGACTTGGGTAGTGCGGGGGCCCCAACGCCTGCTGCTTTGGGTCGGCCTGCTGGGTGGTTTTCCTCCCCCTCGCCCCAGCACGCACACCTGGATCGCTGGCACTCAGGCACGCTGGCTTGCAAACACACTGCACGTGCAAAAAATGGAAATCCCCTCAAAGACACGCCCACATAAACTCCACTATAATATCACACACCCCCTGCACAGCCTTCTGCGTTTAGTCGCACCAAGGTAACCAGGCGCACAATCCCAACTCTACAGTTGTGTAAAACATACTTTAGCTTCTCCCCCAGGCACCACTTTACACGCACAAGCTCCGTGACAGGGCAAACAAAGAGTCCCTCCATCTTGTACTGTTGGTAAGGCCTTTTCAGGCTTAATGGGACTTCGATTTCCTTAATGGAGAATCCCGTGGGAAATGGCCAACTTTATGCTGGGACCCAAGGCCTAGAGACTCCAACTAACATTTCTTAGCTTTTGTTAAAAACTGCTTACTTGTACAAGCCTCCCTCTGCAGCTGGTAACAGGATATGCGTTTTGCCTTTAAAAGCCTCTTGCTCTGAATGCTGGGACCTACACTTAAATCCGGAATACCTGGGTTTAGTCCCAGCTGGTTGGAATGAAGATTTTTTTTACAACTGAGTGGTGGTGGGCTCCCCTTAACAGCGCCTCGCCACAAACACGCTTTTTGTACCCCTCACACGCTTATATCCCCCATGCCTATGGAGAACCTTTTTTTCCTCCCTACCAACAGCAAACTTTTGAGGCTGACCGGACCGACTAGCCCTCCTGCTCCAGGGTCAGTGAGGCCCGTGCACGCCAAGCGCACGGAACGGGCCCCCCACGGGACTTCTGCCAGGATAGCTGCTGAGTTCCAGGGTTAGTGAGGTGGCACCTCCCCCGTGCAGCCACCCTCGGGACTTGGGGTGGCTAGCCCTTAGGTCTTAAGGGAACTTACTCTATCTTCTGCTCCTCTGAATCCAGGAAAACCAGACGCGGCGTTTTTTCAACCTCTTGGGAGAGAGCTCTCACGGGGTTTGCAAAAGCCGGTCAGCTCCTCCTACTCTTCCTGCCGGCAGCAAAGGGATTCAGCAAGGGAGTCACGGGCTCAGGGGCGGGGACAGGGGGAAAGGTCTCGGAGAGGAGGCGGTCCAGAAGGAGGTGCCTGGATAGAAAGTTGAGAAGACCCAGCTGCGCCGGGGGAAATTTTGATACAAAAAAAAAAAAAAAGAGAGAGAGAGAGAGAGAGGTGAGAGAGAGAGAGAGCCGGGCGGTGGTGGCGCACGCCTTTAATCCCAGCACTCGGAAGGCAGAGGCAGAGGCGGTTCGAGACCAGCCTGGTCTACAGAGCTAGTTCCAGGACAGGCTCCAAAGCCACAGAGAAACCCTGTCTCGAAAAAAAAAAAAACTCAGTGTTGGGCCTTAGACTTGATTACCCCATATTACAGGTAGCTACGGCTAAGACCCTTGTAAGCAGTTGGCAAGGAGGGAATCTGCTGATCTGGGCACAGGACCTTCCTGTTCTAGAGGCCGTGATGATCTTCATGGCACACTATTACTGACTGCATGGATTAAATGAGCCACCACATCTCAAAGTGCTTAGCATGGGTCAGGCACATTCTGAGAAAACCATCAGCGAGAGGTCTTGTGATTAGCAAAGTGCTGTCTAGATTATGAGTTTCATGAGGGCTGGGGCTGTGTTTCTTATATTCTTGCTGAGCTCCAGCGCCTGACACATAGAAACTACCAATACATGACTTGTTGAATAGATGAATGAATGAATGATGTGAACAATAACTTAAACTAGTGGCTAGGCCAAGATTCTCACCTCCGCCACATAAGAAATGTCAAAGTTCGCTGGGTGGTGATGGTACATGCCTTTAATCCCAGCACTCGGGAGGCAGAGGCAGGCGGATCTCTGTGAGTTCGAGACCAGCCTGGTCTACAGAGCTAGTTCCAGGACAGGCTCCAAAGCCACAGAGAAACCCTGTCTCGAAAAACTAAAAAAAAAAAAAAAAAGGCAAGAAATGTCAGGGGAAAGTGGTACACGGGACAGGTAGGTTGCCCTACCAAATGACCTAGAAAGTGGAATTTTTGGCAGTTTTTTATACAGATATGGAAATCTGTCAAACAGCTGATCTGAAATTTAAAATGGAATTATGCTAGTTCAGTATTTATACCTTGTACAGTTAGTAAGTAAAGAAGGATGGGAGGAGAGGTCTGAACAGGAAATCTCAATGATGGTCCAAATAGCCATGATGGTGCATAGCTGTAATCAGAGCACTCTGAAAGTCTGAGGTGAGCAGGCGTAGAGTTCTAAACTAGCCTGGGCAATGCAGCAAGACTGTCTCAAAACAAGCAAGCAAGCAATGTGCAGGGGCTGGAGAGATGGCCTTTAAGAGCACTGGCTGCTCTTCCAGAGGACCCAGGTTCAATTCCCAGCAACCACATGGTAGCTCACAACTACAGAGACATATATGTAGGCAAAACACCAATGCACATAAAAAGAAAAAACATGTGCAAATATGTGGGGGAAATGAGCAGGGCTGTTCTACATGAAATAAAACATGTGGAAGTGTGGAGGCCCAAAAATATGAGCCTATTTCCACGTTGAGTCAGAGAGTTGGAACTTAGCTCCAGTTCCTTTATGGTTATTGTGCTTCGAGCTCAGACAAAGGTCCCACAGAGAATTCTGAGCTCTCAAGGTTATTGCCAACACGCGTGCCTAATAGCCAGCCCTTGTGCTCCAGGAATAGCGAAGGAGAACTGTTCCCACCCCAAACAAAAGTCTAAGGACCCAGCTAAGTTCCAGTTCCCTTAAGGAGATAACATTGCATTCCACCCAGGGAGTGGTTTACCTACAGAATGTTTTGGTCTAGGATGTGAGCGTGATTTGTTTTGTTCTAGCAACAGAATATTTAACTACGGTCTGTAGTCCACGACCTTCAATTGATCTGTTCATTTTCTTGTATCGTGTTAATGTAGTCTTTTGTCTTGCTCCTACTTTTGGGGGTCAGGGGTATTTTAAGCAGTTGGAAATTAAACGCTGGCGAATTTCAGTACTCGTGGAAATTCCCTCCCAATACTATGCTATATACTATCCTACATGTTTTTCCATTTTATTATTTTCATTCACGTATTCATATTCTTTACTATATTTTCTAAATCCCCACACCCTCTACCCTGGCAAGAGGTATTTTTGTCAAGGCTGGTCCCTGACATGGAAGATTATTACCCTAAAAAGGAATCTTAGGATGTTCATAAAGTAACAGTAATACCACCTGCCTCTATGTTGAATTAATACTATTCTTGATAACTGTACCCTGATATCCAACATTTTTGGTGGTAATGCTGGTTAGACTTATCTAATTATACTTACTAAATTTTAATTAATGGAAACCCATAAGCTAAAAGAGACCTTGCAGTTATCTGTATAAAGCCAGACATGGACGGGCCATTCCCATCTGAGTGACCTGCATTGTCACCTGGAATCATGGTGTCATCCTGGCCTGGGCTGCTGCCTAGGGCCATGTCTAAATCCGTGGCCCAGGAGCAGCCAGTATCTGAACTGATGTCCATGACTCCTGTTACCACTGAGAGCTGTGCAGATGCCAGGGGTCTGGACAACCACCTGAGATCATGTTGGCAGCCTTATTGCTGCCAGGACCATACTGATCTGGGTGGTCTGTGATGCCACCAGGGCCATGGTGACATCCAGGACCCGAGCTGATGTTAGTGATCATGTCTGGATCCATGTTCCCACTGCAGTTAGGGTCTGTGATGATGTCCATGTCCTGTGTTACACAGGGTGTCATAGGGACCATGCATGTTGAAATTTGAGGGCAGTACTGAGCCAGCTGAAATGGAGTAATTAAAAATGCTGCAGATCCCAGAGTAGCTACAGTGGCAGAAATGCTGCAGGTCTTTGAGTGCAGCAGGCAGCAGGCCATGTGGTGGCAGGCAGGGGGCTGTAGGTCGAGAGAGCAGCCAGTCCCAGGCAGGGACGGTGCACAAGACTATACCTCAGGCCTCCAAAGGCGGCTGGTCCCAGGAAGGGAGCCACGTGTTGGAGGCAGGCGAGAGACAGAGACATGGATAGGCATGCCATGCAAAGTGAGGCTGGATATTTATTTAGTGGATTATGGAGGGGGAAAGGAGAAAAGGAGAAGAGGAGAGAGAGAGAGAGAGAGAGAGAGAGAGAGAGAGAGAGAGAGAGAGAGAGAGAGAGAAAGAGGAGACAGAATCTGCCTCTCTGACTCTCCGAGAGGGAGATGGAAAGCAAAAGACTCAGGCTACAAGCAGAAAGGAAAAGGAAGATCTGCCTGCCTCAGTGGACTGGGGGAGTGGGCATGGCTTGCTTGTCTCTTAAAGAGACAGGACAGACGATTACACCAGCCCCACTCCTCACTGCCCCTGCCCCTTCATGGACACTGCAGCAAGAGAGCTGGCCACACCCCCATGGGAGAGCTGACACCAGCACTCAGGAGAGATGGCCTCACCCCTCACGATGGGCATGGGAGAGCTGGCTCTGATGGCACAGGCCTAGGAGAGCTAGTTCTGTCCCTCAACTAAGGAGGGCAGTTCCAGTGGCCAGGACCAACCAGCTCAGATACCACCCAGACTCACATCCTGGGCCTTAGGTGGCCCACCCTACTATCTACCCCATCTGTGACCCGCTGGAGTGAGTATGTGAGGGGACTGGTCCTGTGCAACAATAACCCCAGGAATCCCATGACTCGGGGGAACAGCAGGATATCTGAGAGGAGTTTTGAAGAGGGTCCAGTAATGATGGTGTGTCAGAGGCCTTAAATAAGACTAATGATTTATCACAATGAACATTTTGCAGGTGGGACTGATTGGACAAAAGGGTATCGTGCACTACAGCTCCCAATGCCAGTAGAATGCGAAATTAACTGGCATGAGAAGGAAGCGTGGAACACACAACAAACCAACAAACCCACTTAGGATTTTGTTGGGGGTAGTATATGGGCCTAGTGAGTTGGTGTGCAGAGAGAGAAAGAGAGAGAGAGCGCTGAAGATGGTGCGTCCAGCTTTTAAGGGCTGCCTAGCACATGTGTAGAGGGGGATGGCATGGTTATGTCATATGCAGATGACAAAGCTCATGCATGCCTGCAAGGGCTCACATAGCTGCATCATATATAGGTGATGTAACCATGCCACACGTGGGTCACACCTGAGGCCTTGTCCACACATGTGTGGCCCTGAAAGCTGGAGGTGTCAGCCATGTTGTGTGGCTGAATCATAACATTCCACCCTTTTGTTTATTATAAAAATTTGGGGCATTTGGGATCTTTAATGGGTGAGAATGGGACAAAAATTTGGGGACTTTGGGGTCTTTAATGGGTTGGAATGGAACATCGTAATGTCTCTCAAGACTGCTTTTTGCTGATTTTGTGGGCATTGGAGAGTTGAGATGCTTGACCATGTCCAGGGGTGGCTGATTACTTTTGTGTTTTTTTCCAGACTCTGTGGAACTGGCTGGATAGCAGCTTGGACCTCACAAAATGCTGGAAAGGCAGAAAATTATCTCTGGAAAAAAATTTAGATCTTGGTGACTTAGGAAGGAGAGTCCCAAGATGAAAAAGAGAGGGGAGTTCTTTTTTTTTTAGGGGGGGTGTTCCAGAGACCAGGAATGATAAGGGAAGAATTTAATGATACTTATTCTGGGTGAGTCTGATCCATTTAGATTGGCTTCCTGGAGCTTATGAAAGAATGTTTGAAAAGAAATAAATTTTAGACATATTAAAAGCTTACAATTACAATGGTATAATGTTGGAATGGCAGACAGTTGGATTTTAGAAGGTGAGATTCTACAACCCTTTTTGGACAGGAAATTTAAAGAAACAGAGGTATAAGTTTTGCTGATCTTTAAGGATGGACTGCAAACTAAAATATCATCTACATATTGTATGAGTTTAGACTTAGGGAGAGACAGTGAGAGTAGACCAGAAGCTAAAGTCTGACCAAATAGGTGTGGGCTGTCCCAGAATCCCTGGGGAAGAACGGTCCAGGTGAGCTGTGTGGAGAGGTAAGTGTCAGGGTTAGTCCAGATGAAGGCAAAGATATTTTGAGATTGCGAGCTGAGAGGAATAGAGAAAAAAAG